TGACCCTATTTCCGTGTAGTGATATGTACAGAGCTGGCTGGAACTTTTCCTTATCTCTTCAGTTGGCTTTAATCAATGCGTATCAGTCCAGCCAAGGTGCTGATGGTAATCTTTGAAGATGACAGGTATGTTTCCCTGGACCCCTGTTGTTCCCACTTGTGAGGCAGGATGAGCCGGGATGTATGAACCAATGCTCCGCACTGTTGCCTGGGATCCAGCCTTGGGCTGTGACTTCCTGGGGCTTGAAAGGTTACACATGAGAGCTGAACCATCGACCCCAAAACATTAGATGCTATCTCAATTGTGTTATGCAGATTATTCTTTCTGGATATCCTTTTCTCTGCATTTGCAGAGGTGATTTCAGGCCTCCTACCTAGCCCAGCTCAGGGCACTCACCTACTTCCCATGGTTCTCACAGTCACTCATCCTCAGGCCACTCCCTTCTTCATGAATGAATTAAGCCTGGGTTCGGCCTTGGGTCGAGGCCTTTGTTATGGGTGGCCGTCATCATGGCTGGATTTAGGACCCCCTTGGTGCCCCATAACTACAAATATGCCTTAGTGTGTTTATTCTCGCCATGGGTTGCAGTGGAAATGGTAGATTGGAATTAATTATTTGAATCCCATTTTCACGGGATTACAAATGTAAACATCCTGGGCCAGGATGAGGACTGGGAAGGGCTCTAAACCTCCTTTGGCCTTATATTTATACATAGTGGCTTTTGGAGCCAATTTTTTCAATTGTTTCCCCTGATTCTCAATATAAATTTGGCCCAAAACAGTCAGTCATGCCCATGGTGAGCAAAATATCATCTGTTTTCTTTTTCTGCCACAGTGTAACACATATAGGCCCTAGTCCAGTTGCCAGTGGAGTCATAAGTCCCACTTGAAACCTCCTGAGCCTGGCCTTTACTGTTGTCATTTCTATCAGCATTCCAGTCCTTCGAGCTCTGACCGGAGTCGCCCAGCAGGCTCTGCTTACTGCACTTTAGGCTTCTCAGGGTTGGATTCTCCAGACTTTTCCTACAGACCTATTCTGTGGTCAGGTATGGTCATAGCAATGGTGCTGCATCTGTATTAGTCAGTTTTCCTTTGCTGATACATAATGCCCACTCCCACAACTTAAAAAAGGAGGGGTTTAACTTGGCTCAGGGTTGCAGGGGATTCAGTCCACGGCTGGCTGGCTCCAGGGCAGGAGCATCATGGCAGCACAGCAAGGTGGAGTAAAGCATGGTTCATGGCAGCCAGGAAATAGAGGAGGGGGACAGTGCCAGTGAGGACCATGTGATCAGGGTTATATCTCCACACTCAACCCAGACACGCCCAGAAGGATGCTTTACTAACCCCAAATCAATCACGTCGACCCAGTTAAGGTTAGCCATAACAGAGCAGCATCTTCGGTCTCCCTGAATTGCTGTCAGTTCAGATCCAGTGTCCAGTTATACCTGATGAAGTGTGGTTAGTTCCCCTCCTCCAGTGTATAGTCACTTTGGCAAATGGTTGCATGTTTTCTTGAGAAGCTTAGGAGGAAGATTTATAGTATAACTTTTTGGCAGTATGTCAGGATTCCTAATGGGGCTCTTCTTCTTTGTTCAAAGAGTTCTGTGTCTGCAAACTAGCTCAAGTATGAGAAGTGGTTGTGGGCTGGTAATCTCCTTTGTGTTGATTTAAGTCATATTTCTGTAATTAGACCCAGAGACTTTCAGATATGACTTAAGTGGACCACCCATCTAATTTTAGTTCTAGGAGTACCATGGTCAGTTAGCCAGTGCCAGCATTTTCCATGGGTCGCACCTTTTTGTGTATTGCTTTGACTCTGATGCCTGCTATGGTAACCATG